TAAGCACGTCTATGCTCCATATGCGTGTTTATTTAAAAGGTAAGCTTATTTAATCTAGGGTTTTTTCTCCTAAGACAGTCACATTCGGGAATTACGCCACTAACATTACAGTCACAGATGCAGACGTAGTTTTATAAACAGACATTATAAACCGATATATTTTTTAAAACTACACTCAACTAATGAGAAACCCAAACAGCTGTTTCAAAGCGTATCGACCCATTACCGTGGTGTCTGCAACAGGCTGTTGTCTACTGATATTTCTATCAGTAACCTACTCCCTCTCTACGGCGACAACAAACGTCCTTCAAACTTTCACTTTTTATGCGGGCAGCGCACTAGGCTAATGTGTATGTTCGCTTGGGTCGCATGCTAAAGAGACGTCTTCATTCTTTGTACCTGCAATGAATGAATACCTTCTCATGATCAAATGGAATTACAGTAACGAGAATGTGTTTTTATATTTTCGAAACGCGAGTATTTATGAAATGTTTGATAACGAAATTACTTAGAGGCAACCTGCAATAATTTACTCTTTTTAGCGTAATTATTTTGTACTGGTACGTATCGAAAACCCATCACGTAGGAGATAGATGATTATTAAAAACTGTTTTTTTTTCGCTTCAAATAATTTATAAATTTAGAAATCTGTTAATTGTTTATATTTTAGAGAGGCTTATAATATCAGTAAATTAAATTTTCGATCAAACTATATTGTTTTTTTATTTTCGATCTAATACTATTCAAAAATACTACTTTTAGACACTTTGATCTGAACGCTGTTAACACCCATGTTTCTAAATGTCTAAACTCAAAATTTTTATTTAAGTTTCTAAAACTCAATAAAGGTTGACTTTTGTATTAATAAAGTACAAATACCAGTTGAAAAAGCACATAGACAGCTAAGCCCATTTAGTACAATTTTGGTCTTAATTATTAAAAGATTGTTAACTACAATGAGAGGGAATTAGGTTTTATATGATCCACCAGTATAGAATAAATTATGATTTTACTTGCTAGTCTTAAGGTTTAGACTTATTTACTGGGGTTAGGTTCGTATTTATAAGGAGAAATTAATTGTTGAAATAATTTATTGAATTCAATACTTGCTGAGCAAAAAAGTTTCTATTGTTGTTATGTATTAGTAGCTATTCTACCTATTTTGTTTAAACAAAGACATTGTGCTTGCTTGAAACATGAGACCAGTAATAGCTGGAAAGAATTAAAACAAATTTGTATTAATAAAATACCTTCCAATTTAAGTAGCTACTTAAAAGGAAATCTAAGTATCACAAAACATGCACAGTAACCACGTTGATGAATTACCAAGATTATGATAAATGCACGTCTAGTTAGAAGATATTCCATAGAGTAAACCATTCTCAGGCTACATTAACCGCTAGAACATTGTTAGTGGCAGTAATGTATGCGGAGATGTTGCAACTTCCGGCAACGGTATAAATTAACTTCCGGCTCCATCAAGCTGGGTCTTTCCTTCCATAAATGACGCAAATACTGGTAAACATTATGGCCACGTTAGTTAGTTTCTCCACTAGGGGTCCTGGTGCTTAGTATTTATTGCATGTATTAATTTACTTTCTCAGAAGAAAAAAAACTGTCAGAAAGATGATTTTTACGATTTTTTTACTAACTACAATACCACTAATTGTTAATAAAAAATCTGAACCTTATGGTGTTGGAATTTATTCTAACTTCATTCAATTACGAAGTGTTTTGAGGCTATTTTTATGGCTTCTAAATAATTTTACCCAGTTCCCTATCGTATTCTGATCTGGAACAGTGGATTTTAATGTCAATTAGGGATCGAATATGTTCCAAAGAATCTCTAGGTTTGGCACTAGAACCATTATTTTGGTAGAAAATGTTTTCACAAAAAACTGTCAGCCTCATTGTACAATGTTTACAAAATAGTATAGTTAAATTTAAGTTTTGCACAGCTTTTTGTTGTTGTTTTACTTATCATGTGAGAGCGAAATAAAATTGGCGTGCTTTCATTGTCCCACCCCGTACCATAGATAAAACATACTCCCTTAGTAGATTTCTCATCCTTATGGAACAGCTGAAGACAATTTTATTGTTAGTTCATGTACGGTTTATGTAGAGGTCGTGTTTTGTTTACAATTTGTTTCCCGTTATTACAGCCATTTAAAACCTCGTTTAACCAAATAATACGATCTAATCATAAACAATAACTTGTCCCCTAGTTATATAACCAAAAAGTAAAGCACAAATCAAGAAATTAACCCTAAAATTATGGAAACAAAGTTTCATCGACACTAGCGCCTTTGTGTCACGTACATGAACTAGACACGAAAAACGTGCTTCAAAATTTACAATGGGATGAGAAGTCTACTTGTGTTGGTTAGTCTATGCCCGTACTATACATCGATCTCTATTATTACTACAGCGTTCTATATGAAGGTGACAATCTAAAGGACAACAGTGATGTCACACGGCGTCCATTCATTGGACAAACAATCGTACATTGTTGTTGAGTGACGTGGTTGTCTTCACTTCATCCGTCAGTACGTCAATAACTCTAGACACAATACATGCCAAACAGTGACGTATATCATGACGTCATAACTCAGCTGTTATATTGTGAGGAATTACAATGCACCAATCAAATAAACAATTGGAAATAGTGTCGATTATTATCATGATATGTCAACCGTGAATATAAATATATGAAATTTATAAATTAATTTCATAAATAATTAAGCATAATAAAATAATATATTTAGAAGCAAAATCAATTGGAAGTTTTTACTTTTTAAAGTTTTTTAGATTTTTTGAAGTAGTTTTACCAGTTACAGAGTAAATTACAATATACAATAAATGAATTAAATCTTCGAATCTAACATCTAATTAAAAATGCTTATTCGCTTACAAAAAAATAGGTAATTATTTTGTAATGTAAAAATTGTTTAGTAAAAAAGTTAAAAAATTAAATCTTCCATTGGAAAACTGTGTTATCTTTATATTATTGTTCGTAAAATTAACTATCACGATAATCTCCCCATATTGGTTTTTCCCTCTATAATCATGTCAATGGTTTCACCCATGCAAGAGTTCCATTGGAGTTGAAATGGTGGAAGGCTATTTTACGACCGAGTGGATTAGGAGACTTAGGTAAATTCAGTTTGGGGAAGGTAAATTGTCTCGGCAAACCCGATTAAATCACTCCGCCGCCCTCAATGGTGGCAAATACAGCGATCAAAACCATTGATGTGGAAGTTTACGGTTCCCGTGGAAGTTATCAGCCAATTTATTCCAAAGACTGACTATCGTCAATTGTAACAGACAGACTGTTATATAATACAATTAATCAGTGGTAAGGCTTATCTTACCTGGCAATATTGAATAGAAGATTATATTATTGTGTTGTGCATTTTGATGCAGTCACTTTGTAAATAGAGAACATGCAAAGTCACATAATAATGAAATTTTTCACGTGGCTTTGAAGACCCCAATGTCCTTATGTCCTTGCGACTGTGGGTAAGCTGGGGTGGGGGATTGGCTGGTCTAGTGGTAGAGCTCGGGGCTGCGTAGCTTGAGGTACTTAGTTCAAATCCCTCCAATCGCAAATGGATTTTATCCATGTGATAATGCTCAATCCTTTAGGACTAGCCTGGAGTAATGTGTTAACTTTTCCGGGCTAGAACCTAGCGTCATAGGAATTGAAAGTGGGACATAAAACGATTTCCTTGCGACAGACCCTTATCAAATTAATTAGATTTTTTTAAGAACATGGTATTTGCTGCTCAATCAATTACTATTATGTCAGTTACTGTTACTGTTATGTCAGTGTTGAGTACAAAAACATTGTTATTGTTAAGGTATATACTGGTTTCTAACGCTAAGCTTACTTTCACCTTGTCTTATAGACCCTGGTTTACCGCAAATACATGCTATTTTTTATCCTACCATTTGTTTTATACATTTTAACTTTTTACCATGGTACTAATATGTTTATTTTCGAATAAAATATAAGTAGTATGGTATGCGTATATATTTTAACTTGAATCTATATTGTGTTGTGTTTATTTGAGGAAGTACTTTAGAGAAGGTGTGACTCAAACAAGAAGGATAAAAGCTTGGTTATTGGTGGGATTAGGACACAAAACTCTAGGAAAGACGTTCTACGATTTAAAGCGACCATCCTTCTATCTCAGTAAATACACATGCTAGATATTATATGATATCTCTATATAGATATTACTAGAGTATGATATGGCTATTAAACAAAAAAACAAAAAAACAGTGGTAATACACAATATTGATTGTGTATTAGGTTAATCTAAATGAACGATTTCGTAGATTCGTGGATTATACTTATTATACTTACTTTTCAGGTTTAATACTTAATGTTTCATATTGGAATATTATAATACTTTCTCAATGTATCTACAGTTACAGTGAGTCAGAATCAATCCAGTTAAAATGTTGGTGATTAACATGATTTTAGCTCAGTATAGCACACTTAAACAACGAAACTTGAGCCTAATTATTGAATTTATACCTCGCACTAGTCACGCCTATTTTACTAAAGAGCGTGTTATACAAGGTAAACACTATTAGTTGATGGAAATTCAACCCTGGTCCATGTTACATCTATCAAACCTGGACCATATTTTAACTCGGCAACTCATGAATCTTTGTTTTCATCGTTCAACTCAGACTTTTTTTTCATTTTATATTTGAATGTACAGGAATTTATGCGTAGTATGACCCTAACCAAAAAGGTTGGTGATTGGTGGGAATCTAACCCGGGTCCCCAAGGCAAAAGTCCCAGGATTATACCTAGTCCTCAGTCCACCTGAACCTTATAACCCCAGGATTTATTCTCTCCTCCATAACATAGACCTGCGGCACTCCGGCGAAGAAGCGTCAGTCAGGAACCTGTAAGTAGGTCCCCCCCCTCCCCCTCTCACTGTCCGTCTGTCTGTCTGTCTGTCAGTGATACGTTATCAGTGAGGCACAGTGCACCGGGAGTGACATGTGAAAAATGGCTTGTGATGGAGGAGCCGTGTTTAAAGTGATTCTTTTGGTGAGTAATAGTTGTTTGTTTTGTAATTTAATAAGTTCGGTATATAGTTTAGAATGTGAAAGAATAAATTGGCGTGTAAATAACATTCTTGTGTCTCCTATGGAGGGTAAATACGATTGTTAAGTTAGGCGGTAAGAGTGTAATCTTAATATTGCCTTTGCGTTGCAGGGATGTACTAAAAATTAGGAATTTTCTTACATTATGCCTAACTTATGCGTAATATCGTGATTTCATGATCATCTGCTGATATATAAAACGTGCTCATGATAGTTTGTTAAGAAAATAATCTTAATTCCTTAGGTTTATTTGTTGTAACAAACTAAAGAAACATTTTAACAGTTTTAGTCTTAGTATTTATTTGGTCAGGAGTAGAGATTCTGGGTCAAACATGGTACTTCTATTCATCACTAATCAATTCAATCAATCTTATTTTATGATGTTATATTAATCTTAATCAATATTTAATTCAAACCATATTATTGTTTGAAAATAATTAAAAATTTTGTTTGTAGTTTTAAAGAGTTGCACAGCTATTTGAAAATTAATTTCCTTAAAATTAACTTTCTTTTCACACCCCCATAAACCATATACTTAAAATGTTCGTCATGACGAGTAACCTTGCGCATAATTATCCATTATTTCATAAATTGCCCTTTAAGGTCGTAATTGCTTTCCAAAGGGAACTTTCCTTATACATAATGTTAAAAAACCTCAGCTGTCCTTATTTGTATGTTAATCTTTCAATTTATATCCTTATTAAAATCAGGTGTGATTATTTGTTTCTTTTACTGTATTTTGTTTATTTCAGGTTAATTTAACCAATCAATAGTTTTATTAATCCTTATGATGTCAAACGGGGTGAAGCCCGTGGGTAACAGCTAATTTTAGTAAAGTTCAATGTGAGTGCATTTTTTAAATTCCATTTTTATCATTCACGTAGATTTCAATTGCTATTAGGAAGAGTAAAGGCTAAAGTGGGTTTCATTTGCCTTTATAAATGCCAGAGGCTGTAGAATGGTTTAATCTGGCTTGTGGCTAACTCAATTTGCTCTCACCGTGACTAATTTAGCTAAGTCTTCTAATTCACTCCCTTCAGCGAATACAAACCTTAAGGGATAGCTCACCTGTTTGAGCAAAACTTCACTTGTATCAGTCGTCACTACGATTGCTCGGATTATTACCGGTTACCTCAATTATAAATAATGTTTGTAACAGTAAAAAGTAACGAAAAGATAGCTGTATCCGAATCTATAGCTTATTTTAAGTACTTAAGCGAGTAGCCTACTTAAGTAATTCTAATTAAATACCAAAGTACGTAAATTTGTAAATACCTTTTCGCTACACTACTGCGAAATGTTTACTATCTTTTTTGGATTTTGCCGACGTAAACAAACAAATTTTTGCTATTGTTTTATTAACTGTTTCAATTTTCAACAACTAAAGTAAACATTAACTTTAAATTGAAGGCATAACCAAAAAAATTCTCTTAGTTTTGTAATGAAGAAAATAATTATTCTTTGTAGTGTAGCGAAAAGTAACGTTCAAAACACGAGTGAAAGTGGGTCTATACTTATTCTCGACCATTTATAAATAAAGTAGCTCGATAAATCTCACACTTCAAACATGGTCTCAAATATGTAATGACTCACTTTCCACTCTTGTTATGAAATATACTATTTCCAACCAAAATAATGGCACTTTTTAGCTCGAACAAAATGGTAAAATTGTAATCATCAAAGTTCTAGTTTTTATAAACATTTTAATGAACGTTATAAAATAAAACATTGTGTACTTATTACTGGTTATCATGAAGTTCAAAATTAAACGATTCATTGTGTTTGGTGTTTGTTAACCTTACCAAGGAAAAAATATACTATTGTAATAGTGAAAATGTTTATTCCAATGAACATTTTTTTGAGGCGAAAATTTTTTTAGAATGTTTTGTTGAGTTTAATACAATTTACCCATGATTTTTTATCGATAAGAAAATTAAGCGCGATAAGAATTCTTCAAGTTAAAAATTGAACACTCATTACTTATACTGGAATCTATCAAACTGATTACATCTTATACTAATTATTTGTATCACAAAGGAGAACGTTTGATAATTTAATCTAAGTATAGAGACCGTTGTGTTTATAACATTAAGCTTTGTACATATTAGCTATCTAACAAGCTTTGTATAATGGCCGAACTCCGTTTTACGTTATAGCACTTGTTTGTATAAACGAAACACTAAACATTTTCAAAGGTCGCAAAACACTAATGACCTTTAGAATACATACTCGATTCTCTAAACAAAATCCGTATAACCAAATACACATGGTGATACTTTGAAATGAGTATTCATAAAGATTATTCAATATTTGTCTCCTTGTTGACACAAACATGTTAGAAAGCTCGTTGAATGCATTTGTCCCCATTTACCTAAGGGTCTTAAGGTAATTAGAGTCCTGTTGAATAAGCATTATATTCTCTTTGACTGGAATAATTTCGTCTCGTAAATGCAGAGTGTTTCCCTCTAAAAGCTACAAGTCCATTATAATTACACACACTACTTAAATAATCCAAGAGGTGCTCTCAACTCTATTACTCGATGAGATTTAGTTCAAAACAACTCTGGTTGCTTTTGAAGTTTTAAAACGCATTTGTGGATCCATTCAAAGGAAATATTTAACTTGTTTACTAACCACTTTATTTTAAAATTAAAACTTCAAATGAGTTTTATGTTTGTATGTATTTTTATTCTCGTGAATATTATTTTACTTAACTTCCCTTAAATTTCCATTTCCTAATTGATATTATGTTCTTAAGGTTATTGTAACGCTATGAGTAATTGGATCCAAAATAAAATAGATTCATTATTGTACCGTAAGTAATGAAGTAAAGCTTCACGGTCTCGTCTTTTTTAAACTGTAATTTGGAAATAAAAGTTTAGTTTTTACACACTCATTTATTGATTTAACTGCATAACAGTTTACTCAACTGTCAACTGTTCTTTTGAAATCAACAGTAATCAAAAGTTATAGGTTGAACGTATTAACAAACTTGTACTATTGGTGATGCTACTCAGTCAATTATCAGCGATAAAATTGTACTAATGAACATTTGTTTCAAAGACGCCTATTTTTTACTTAGATATACATTTCTCCCATATTTGAATTGTATATGTATATACTTAGCAAATTTCCAATATGGGGAATACACTGTGACCGTAGGTCCCATGGTAAGACCTAGAACTGGAACCGACTTACTTTTTGATTTTGATGCCACATAGGCCAAAATAGCCTACTATAATTTCAAAAAGAAACATTTTATATGTGTGGCCGTAGCACAAGAGTTTAATTAAAAATGTAAGATTTTTATTAAATTCGGTACAAGTCTGTAAACTTGCATTAATTCCAACGATTTAGTGAACCAGCATAATCAGGTATTTATTCTTTACTAAAGAAAATATCTGACAACTGACTTTTAAATAAACTGTAAAATTATAGTACGAAAACTTGAAAGAGAATCACTATACGAGGGAAACACATTTTAATAATTAAAACCAAGAAAATTTGTGTGATAATGCAACTGCAATCATAATATAATAGAGCAATGCCATATAATAGAGAGCCATAAAATTGTAAGACAGCCATAATGATATGCAAGTCCCGTGTGGTCGCCTTACACTGTTGGCAATAGGATGAGACTGGAGGCTCTACAAAGGCGTTTTCTTCGTTTGGTTGGTGTCCGGCTGGGTTTTGCCTATCTTGATGTGCCTGTGGAGGAACTGTCCAGCAATCTGAACTTGTCACCTCTTGCCCTGCGACGTGACGTGGCTGATGTTATTCTTCTCTGGAAGATAGTCAATGGTCACATGAACTGTCCAGATCTCCTAGCTGAAATCGACCTCAGAGTGCCTACAAACACAAGATCTCGAGATCTGCTGGGTCGAAGATACCACTCAACCAACTTCGACTTCAACAGTCCTTTCGCAAGGTTTACTCGCCTGGGAAATCGAGTTGCGTCTGGGTGTGACCTGTTTTTCGATGGACTTCAGCAGGTTCGTCGGCAGGCCTCCTCTCTTCTTCTTTCTGGGAAAGACTAGTAATTAATTTATTGTTGTTTGTTAACCTTTATTTTCTGTTGTTGCTATGTTAGAGTATTTATTGTTGTTTGTTAATCTTATTTTTTTGTTGTTGTTACGCTTTGGATATTTATAACCTGTTATATCTTTGTTAACTTATATTTATCATCAAATTTTGCTTACCTATTTTGTTGTATTCAACCATCATGTTTATCTTTGTAAATTGGCTGCTGCCGTTGGAAATAAAAAAAAAAAAAAAAAAAAAAAATGAGTAAGGAGCAAATTTTGGAAAATGTTAGGTTATTGGGATTTTTTTGTTTTGACTGAAAAAAAATATTCTAACAATGCAATAGCGATAAAATGATTATTCCACAAATTTCAATAAATAATAATATTATGGTAGAAAACCTCCTTCCTGCACTTATTTGGCATACACAAATTTCACTCTGAACAATACTAAACCTATAAGGTTTTTGGTAAAAATATATTCACATCCAAATTATATACATTACATGCTTTAATTCTTTAACCACATCTTTTTACTGGTAGTAAAAAGTAGGCACAGCAAGTCAAGTACAATTTTATAGCCGAATCGTGTTAGTGTTCACAATCGTTCGAACAATGGTCGTACGGGTGGGTCAAGGAGTCGGCTTTCCCATGCTTCGACCTTCAGTACTAGAGGATGGTGCCAACTCTCACGAAAAAACTATCCTTAACCTTACAAGTGAAACGTTAAATGTTAAAAGGTCCTGATTGTTTGATTCGTAAAAAATATCGTTTGCCTATAAGGTCAAATAAGTTCCTGAATAGAGATAACAATACCTAGATTGAGGTAATAATCGAGAGTTTCTTCAAGATGTTGGCATACAAGTTAAAAACCCAAAACATTGACCATCACTATAAATGAATAACTTAAATGCAATTTTGT